GAAAGATCAGTCAGACTGCCCTGTGAGAAAATTGTTGGAATGTGTTCAAGAAGATAATCAATTCCTCTCTGAATCAAGGGGCAAGGGAAGCCTCAATTGAAGCTTTGTGTCAAAGAATAAAAGCAACACACATTGATCTATGGAAGGAACAATAAAACTGTATTACTACCACTAAAAACAACTAGAGACTTTAAAAAAACTGCCTTCAAATAAAACAATTAAGCAATTAATTGACGTGGATTATATAAAAACCTAGAATTAGAAGGCAGAATTTAAGCCCTTGAATTCAATCTTTGCTCAGTGCTGGAGTTCAATTTAAAACATCTCTCTGATAAACATTTAGCCAACATCTGTTTCTAAAATTCCAGTAAAAAGGAAATTGCAACCTTCCTCAGTCACAGGTTTCATTGTGATTGTTACTTTTTTTTTTCTAACAGTCAATTGGAATCCTGTAACTTAAATTCATTATTTGATGTTCTATACTTTGGAAGAGGTAAATTTGTGTTTATTTTTGCATTACAAATTTTCAGATACATAAAGGGTACCCCTATAAAACTACTTTTGCACTTATGGAATATTTTGGAGTGTTTGTTCAAACCATTTTGGATTACATCTCTGTGTCCTACTGCAATCTATCAATACTTTTAAAATAATTTCAAATGGTTTATGCATCAAACAATTTACACCTTTTTTAAAGATGCAGCAGAAAATTCTAATGAGAAAATGACAATCTATCCTCTTAGCAGAAGCACAACTAGATTTTGTTCAAGGCTCCACCAATCAGAGAACATTGCTTTTTTATCAGCAAAATCTCCATGAAATTGTCCACTGCTACACTAATTTGCCAACCATTGTTCTGTGAATCTGGTCCATGTTAATTTATCAAAATGACAGATATTCAGAAAATGAGGTAACAACAACAACAATAATAATAATAATAATAATGTTGGAGAGAACCTTGGAGGTCATCTAGTCCAAATCCCTGCTCAGACAAATGGCTGTCCAGTCTCTTCTTAAAAACTTCCAGTGTTGGAGTATTCACAGCTTCCGGAAGCAGGTTGTGTAACTCATGGACAAATGTAGCCTATATCAGATGGTTGGGTTGTACCACTTAGCTCTTACTTGCTGTGGAGATAACATTTTGCTGTTCACTGACAAAACACACATGGAGTAATTTCAGCTGCCTTTTCCACAAAATGACACCTCACTTGTCTACCTGGACTATCATCTGATCCAATCTTGCATTATCTCCATTTATTTCTAGTCTTTGACTTCTCCTGCAAGTCTCAATGCACAATATGATGTCTATAACCAGTCCTTCAGTTGCTTTCCCCAAAGCTGGGCTCTGGGACTAGAAATAATTCTGAATTATGAGGAGAGATGTAGGGAAGCCCTCACTGAGGGAGAAGTTTATCTCAAGAAATAGCTGCTGCTTCTTGGAAGTTGAGCCAGCATATTCCATAGATCTTCCAAGGGCCTGGATAGCATTTCTTTACCTCAGTGGTGTGGAAATTATTCCAAGATAATTACATTTTATTAACAGCCATAAATGAGACATCATTTTATTGCAATATCAACATCATATTGTTAGCTCTATCATAATGTTCAGGAGAATATTTGCCTGAGGGCAAAAATGGACATTTATAAAAGATGGAGTATCTGAATCATTCAAAGCAGGTTATAAAAGCAAAATAAGAATTTTTTAAAGTATATGTCACTTAACAAAAAAAAGCTTCTTTCAACATGTAAAAAACAAGAAAAATGTTAAGGAAATGATTGGTCCATTAGTGGGAGAAAATGGCAAGAAGGTGACAAGGGAGAAAGCAGAACTACTTAACTTGTTTTTTGCATCCATATTTACACAAAAGAAAGAAACAGTTGAACCTATCAAAAACAGTACTGTAAAAAACAGATTAGAAACAAAAGTTAAAATAGGCAAGAAAATGGTAAGTGAACACCTGTCCACCCCAGACAAATTCAAATCACCAGGACCAGATGGATTACATCCCAATGTTCTGAAGGAACAGGCAGATGTGATCTCAGAACCATTGAGCTATATCTTTCAAAGATCCTGAAGCACTGGGGAACTACCAAAGGACTGGAAAAGAGCTGATGTAGTTCCCATCTTCAAAAAAGGAAAAAAAGTAGATCCAGGAAACTACAGATCTATCAGCCTGATCTCAATACTTGGGAAGATTCTGGAAAAGATCATCAAGCAAGTGAAGCAAAGTCATAACCAAAAGCCAACATGGGTTTGTCAAAAACAGATCATATCAGACAAATCGTATTGCATTCTTTGACCAGGTGACAAAATGAGTGGACCAGAGGAAAACTGTGGATATAGTTTACTTGGACTTCAGTAAGGCATTTGATAAAGTAGACCACAACCTACTACTTGATAAGATAGAAAAATGTGGGTTAGACAGCATCACCACCAGATGGATTCGTGGCTGGCTGACCAGCCGTACTCAGCATATGGTCCTCAATGGAACTGCATCTACATGGAGGAAAGTGTGCAGTGGGGTGCTCCAGGGCTCTGTTTTGGGCCCAATGCTCTTCAACATCTTCATTAATGATTTGGATTAGGGGATAGATGGGGAACTCATCAAATTTGCAGATGACACCAAGCTGGCAGGAATAGCCAACACTCCAGGAGACAGGCTTAAGATACAAAAGGATCTGGACAGACTTGAACACTGGGCGTTATCTAACAAAATGAAATTCAATGGTGAAAAAAGTAAGGTTCTACATTTAGGCAAGAAAAACTAAATGCACAGGTACAGTATAAATAATACCTTGCTCAATAGTAGTAACTATGAGAGGGATCTTGTAGTCTTAGTGAACAATCATTTAAATACGAGTCAGCAGTGTGTGCAGCTGTCAAAAAAGCCAACACAGTGCTAGGCTGCATTAACAGAGGGATAGAACCAAAATCATGTGAAGTGTTAATGCCACTTTATAATGCCTTGGTAAGACCACACTTGGAACACTGCATCTAATTTTGGTCACCACGATATAAAAAAGATGTTGAGACTTTAGAAAAAGTACAGAGAAGAGCAACAAAGATGATAAGAAGACAGGAGGCTAAAACATGTAAAGAATGTGCTTTATAAGCTTCCTGCCTTGATTCTTCTAGAACTCAGACCTATCTGGCCAGAAAGACTTGGATTTAGGCATGTATACAAGGAAGAGGAATTAATGCGTAAAGGTTTTAGCTCAGCAAGAAAGCAAAATTGTAAATCCACATTGCTTTCTTTGTGTTCTGGGTACTGAGATAAATAAGAGCAACAAAGAATACTGGAGGAACTTGAAAGACTTTGTCTTTGTAAGAATCTTTGTAAGATTCTTTTTGTCACAATCTGAGTAGGGATATGTCCTCATGTTTTCCCAGTTTTAATTCAACCCTTGGACTGCATATTGTTTAGACACATAAATAATCACTTACCTATTCATGAATGGAAATTAAGATTGGTGATCTTGTATAGAAAAATATAGAAAATAAGAAGAAATGTTATCTTTTCCCCATTTCAAGGTCATTAGCCTAAGTTGGTGCAGAATTAAATTTGTACGGTGCTGGTGGAAGCAGGCAAAGATGCTTTCAGTTGAGATGGAGGAAAGGGGATTATTCCAGCTGTGTTATGGGGAGGCAGTTATTTTTTTCCATAGCTTTCTAGGATGGTTCTGGAATGCTGAGTTAGTATTAGCAAGCTGAGTTAAAACAAGGTCATTGGATTGCAGAACAAAAACCAGCCAGACTTTTGATCTGTGACTTATACATGAGTTTGCTGCTTATAGTCATCATTCTGAATACAGTTGGCAACACTCATGCTTTCCACATCCTGCGGGACTTTGTGCTTTTGGAAATAAGAATTTTGGGATCCAAATCCTAAATGAGACAGGAAACTGTCTCTCTAATTAAGCTATCATTCTCAGCAGCACCAATCAACATCCTCAGCATGGAGAGATAATGGGAGTTGAAGTTCAATAACTATCTGTGGCCTTTCATGTTCTGTCACTATCTCAAATAAAGTGACAAACTGTTATCTAATACACTTGAAAGAAAAGCTACACACATCAACAGGTCATTAAGGACCAGCATTTCAGAGTGACTGTTACACGGAAAGACAGAATGTCTTAATTGTTAGAGCTATTTTTTATTTTTAAATGTGGTCTAGATGCTTTCAAAAATTATGCAGATAGTGATTATGCAGCTGAAGAACACCAGAATAGACTGGTAGATGTAGACTTTCATTTTACAACAAATGACAGACTTAACCATAATTTCAACTAGGAAACTGTGATCATCTTAGATTAAGCCAAGTCCAAAATGCTAGAGAATTTCTGGAAGCCTGGCATTCTGACAAATTGGCTATCAATAATACATAGGCATAAACAACATCTACATACTGTGCAAAAGAAGCAATCAACAATCCAAAAAGGGAATAAAAAGACAAAACACATCCAGATGAACATAGATTAACACCAAAATTAACGTAAGACCAACAATCAAGAAGTAAAAGGTAAAGCTAAGTCGAGTCTCATTCCATGGTGCTCATTCCATTTTTTAGATGAGGGAGCCAGGGTTGTCCATTTCTGTGGCCATGTGGCCAGCATTACTATATGCTGAGGCACACAGAACACTGTTACCTTCCCACCAAAGTCGTACCTATTTATCTACTCACATTTGCATGTTTTCGAACGGCTAGGTAGGCAGGAGTAAACAATACCCTAATCAAGGAATTGCAAAGCAAGCTAACAATAAATAACCTCCAAGACCACCCCATCAACACTGACAGGGCAAACCACTAAAATATAAACTGAGAACAAACCCCACTCCTTACTAGCAGGGATAATGTTATCTAGTTTGGGTAATGAAGTGTCTGCAAGAAAACAACCAAGATCAGAGAGCACCAACGACCCCTCAGACTAAAGAAGGCGGGGGGGGGGGACTAGGTCCATATTGTTGCTGAAAACCTTCAGGGATGGCTCAGTGAAGTTACCTGGAAATTTGTTGGACAGGATGGCATTGCATGTTTTCCTGGACATCAGGAAAGAGTATAATACAATACGATAAGTAAATAGGATACACATGGACTATCTTGTAATAAATAGCAGCTGAGCGTGCTTGCTGGCTTCTCCATTTACATCTTGGGTTATGGATTACAGCTGCCTTTTCTGCCTAGCTGATGTTTCTATATTTATGCCAGGCCTTAGGCTTAGAGTGTTCCAGTCAGCTCAGTCTGTTTTCACTAATACATATCTAATGCAACATTGGTAACAAGCTATATTAAGATGACATCTAGTCTTATGAAAGGTTATCCATTAAAAACAAAAAGTCAGCACTCTGTAAGAAACCTTGTGGAACTGCCTTATTAGACAATTTCCTAGTTCCATCTCCATGAACATGGATACTCAAAGGAAACCTCCTGATCTCCAGAGACCCTCATGATACTACTTTTATCACCAGATATGTTGCCATCTATGAGAGGCAGGATTTTTTTCCCCTGATGGATTCATTTGTATGTCACCCTCCTCCAGAGAAACTCTAGTACAATGCTCATTCTTGTGAGCTCTTAGCAGGTTACATAAGGCTGCAAAACCTGCTTCCAACATTTAGACTGTAAATCTTTTGGCACAGATAATTATACCTTTTAGGATATTATTGTTTAAATACAGATTCCTGTATAATCAGGCTCCAAACCTGTAGGTCTGTAGAATATTTGGGTTTCAACTCCTACAAGTTGCAATTAGCCTGATCACTAGTCAGGGATTATGAAAGTTGTAATTCAACAACTTCTATAGAAATATAGATTTTCCCCTCTTTTCCTTTTGGACACTCTCCAAATAACAACTCTATTAATCATGATAAGCAGAATCCCATGGAAATAGTGTTAGTTTTACATCTTCTGATCAAAAGCAGAAAGAAGAGAAAGAAAATTACGTTTTGGCTTGATAAGAAAAGAAAAACAAGTACGAAGAGGGAGTCAAGCTATTCTCCAAAGCGCCTGAGGGCAGGACAAGAAGCAACGGATGGAAACTAATCAAGGAGAGAAGCAACCTAGAACTAAGGAGAAACTTCCTGACAGTTAGACCAAATAACCTGCCTCCAGAAGCGGTGAATGCTCCAACACTGGAAGTTTTTAAGAAGAGACTGGACAGCCATCTGTCCGAAATGGTGTAGGGTTTTCTATCTGAGCAGGGGATTGGACTCAATGACTTCCAAGGTCCCTTCCAACTTTATTACTATTGTTGTTGTTGTTGTTGTTGTTGTTGTTGTTGTTATTATCTGTATTGGACATAATCTAGGCCAGATTAATGCCCAGTATAAATTCAGGACTTTAATCAAGAACAACTCCTGTTCACTCAGCAAGTGAGTCACAACCAAACCATCCAATTAATTGAACTGTGGACCTGGCTAAAGTAAATATGAATAATTACCACCAGATCACTGGTAGGTAAATTATGCTGATTTTGAAAAAAATGCATGTTTGAAGAAAACCAAGAGAAGGCAATAGCAACAGATTCAGGTGTCCATCTTTCCATCTATAACAGTTATTTCTCAACTTCAGTAACTTTAAGATGTATAGATTTCAACTTGAGAATGTATTTTGTACAGTAATGGAAAAGGAGCTTTTCTTTTTAATGTTAGAAGTGGCTCTTTCTGTATTACATACTCCTTTTAAGTGGAGTACTGCAAACCATTTCAAGAAACGGCAAAGGTTCCTCTTCAGATATTTATAACTCCAGTACCCATGAAACCTACTAGGGATGATTGGAGTACTGCCATCCAATAGTACAAGTCTAGTTTACAATGAATGTTTTAAGCAATTTGGAATATTTTAAGCTATCTGGAATCTTGCACCGTGTTGGCCTATTTGCCATGTCTGCCAAATTCAACATCTGCAGTGTGATTCCATGATGGCTAGGATTATAGAATGCACTAATTAAAAGCAATTATAACTTAGTGTGAATCTATTCAGTATGCTGGATATAGCTAATATAAACTTCTATCACTTTTTTTAAAGAGCTGAGGATGAATGAACCAGACAGGATGCTTCTTCCTGAACAAGGTTATCCTGCAAATACTGAGGTGGTAAGCCATCTAGATTAAAAGCAGCACTTTGAATTACTCTTACATGCCAACAGGTGGACTTCTATATTCTGCACTAGCTGAAATTTCTAGGTTGTTTTCAATATAAAATCCGCATACAATGTATTACAGTGGTCCATATGAAAAGTGATGAAGGCATGGTTAACCATCACCAGCATCTCAAGCTCCAGAAAAGGTTGCCACTCACAATAATTTTCCTCCAAAAATATGCCTGTTTTTTTTATTGCTGGCAAAAATCCATCATCAAATTCAGATGACTACAAAATTAAGGTAATCACTAAAGTTTCTTTTGATTTGAAAATAAACAAGTAGGTTCCCATTCAAATTTTAACTAGACAAATTTCTCTATCTTGTTGAGCCCACAACTCCTATAACCCAAAGTTTTCATAGCAAGTAGGGCTGCACTATTATATGCCAAAGTCTAAGAATTCTGGAAAATCTAAATTTAAGAAAGGCTGGTATGAAGGACAAACATGCTCTTGCTTTCTAAAAAGCAAATACATTTGTTAATAAGATTTAAATATGTAATTATCTTGCTTTGCCTTCAGGATGTTATGGGGTGATTTTCTGCTTATAACAGGGTTCTCAACCTTTTTAATGCCGCGACCCCCCAACCGGTCGTAAGTCGAGGACTACTCAACCGGTCGTAAGTCGAGGACTACTCAACTGGTGCAGCACCGTTTGCAGAATGGGACTTTTGGCGGGCTCAGCAGGGCAGAGACAGCCTGGACAATTCCTATTGGCTTTTGAAAGCCAATAGAATTAGACTCTATTCAAGAGAGTCTATTCTATTGGCTTTCAAAAGCCAATAGAATAAAAGGGAGTAGCACAGCTAAGGAAAAGGGGAGAAAAAATGGCAGATTGCATTATTTGGCGACCCCCCGTGAAATGGCCATTCAACCCCAAATGGGGTCCCGACCCACAGGTTGAGAACCACTGGCTTATAACCTCCCCATATTTTTGTACAGCTTTTTCACCTTTTTTTATTTTACAATTCCCCCCCCCCCAACAATTAAAGAGGAAAGGAAAACTGCTGCACAATCTTTTCAGATTTGCAAAGTTATGTGCCTGCCATAAGGAAATTTCATTCTACCCAATTTCCAACGTGAAGATTTATCAAATTGTGCTATACGTTATCGTGGTTATAAATGAGGCCCACCATTTTCAAAATTATATTTTGCCAATTATTTTCAAGAGTTGTTAGGAAAATGATGAGATGAAAAATGGTTTAGAAACATGAGAAAAACACTGTAGAAATTCATGTATTTGCTGCAATTAATTGTGGTTTGTGTGACTAAGAATAAATAGCAATAGCAATAACTTATATACCCACTTAACAGTACTTTACAGTTCTCTCTAAGAGGTTTACAGAGTCAGCATATTCCCCCAACAAACTGGGTTCTCATTTTACCAACCTCGGAAGGATAAAAGCCTGAGTCAACCTTGAGCCAGTGAGACTCAAATTGCCAAACTGCTGGCAGCTGGGGTTCAGCAGAAGTAGCTCGCAGTACTGCATTCTAACCACTGCACCATCAGGGCTCTTAAAACCAGTCACTTGTTATAATAAAACAAGCATAGACATAGACATAGACAAAAACATAAAATAGAATATAACAGAAACAAGAATGATACAAAGAGCATTGGATAACAACTTAAATCACAGCAGTCTAATCAGAAGGTTTGTCAGTAGGAAATCAGCATGCAATACCAATATTTGAAAATGAAAGCAGACATTTTTAACAGCTAAACTTTCCTACCAATAGTACTGTTCCATGTAATTTAATTTCCTGTAATTATATGTTATGTTTAGTTAATTCGGGATTATAACACATAACTAAATTCCATTGCTGAACTGGGATGCAATTCTGCATGGTGAAAAGAGCCATATTTGTATCTAAAGCAGCCATGTCCAACCCACAGCCTGTGGACTACATGCGGACCTGGACAGCTAGTAATGCACAAGATCATACACTTTTAACATTATGTGATTTATATATATTAACTATATTATATATTTTATATGCGACACAGGGCAATTTGTCTTCATTAAATGAGGCCCGGGCCAGCCAAAAGGTAGGATATCCATAAGGATGTAGATACAAATGAAATATGACTCTTGAAGCTATCTGGCCTGTATTTTGAGAAAAGCAAATCAAAGCAAGAAGTTCTGTTCTCTTGATCAGTGATCAAACTGATCTCTGCACACTGTGCTCTCAAAGACATCTGCATGCAGAGGCAGCATCAGTCACATTTGTGTGAACTTTCATCCTGTTGAAATCTGGTCAGTTGATTCTAGATTTATTACATGTTTAATTTTAATTTTCTTTATGATCAACTGAGTTTTCAACAATGATATTTGAATTAAGCTGTTTATTGCTTACGCATTTCTTTTAAAAGACTATTTTCCTGATTATTATTTTAGATTATAGGCTTATGCTGCAGTGAATACATTTTTTATTAAAACAAATGGACCAATTTGAAAACATTAACAAATTTATTGCTAAATATACATTCAAAAGCATGCAAATACAAGTAGATGAATAGAATCACTTCAGTGGGAAGGTAGCAATAGTGTTCCATATGCCTCAGCATATAGACATACTGACCACATGACCATGGAAGCGTCTTCAGACAACGCTGGTTCCCTTGGCTAGGAAAGGGAGATAAGCACCACCCTCTAGAGTTGGACATGACTGCTCAGGAGAAACTTTTATCTCTTTTTTAAAAAATACATGCTAAGGATGACGCTTGATTCAGTATGAACTTTGCTTCTAAATGGTTGTAAAACATCTTTTAATCCAATGTACATTGTAAATGGGGTTTACCTCCAATTTTAAGATAGAACCAATACACACAAATATTAAGCACCGTAAGAAAATATAAGTACAGTACCTATTGTTAGCAAATACAGTCCAAGGAACAAATTCAACAATGTATGGCAGGTTATTCCTGACAGAAATTCTTGACTTTCAAATATATACTTTGTTAGACATGTCACACAACACTCACCCAGAATTGGAAACACCCAATTTCCACACCAAGAGAGGTATGCAAATCTGGGTGGGAAGCTCCAACATTATTGTTCCCAGATCAGAAAGATATTATAATGCATGCAATAATTACTCAACACAAAATCACATATACAAACAAAATACAAACATTTGAAGAGGGTGTGTCAAAAAGAATAAGAGTATACTGAGGGTTCTTGCTCACAAACATGCCCTGGTAACTCCTTTTTCTGCCATATCCACATGTTACCTACAAGATGAGCGCATAACTAAGACAGCCTCTTTCTTCTCCCAGCAAAATTTAGCCCTAAATGTGCTCCAGCACATTTCAGTGACTTCAGTGGCTGCTGATGTGGTTCAAGAACTGAGATCTGCCCAGGTGGCACACAAGTTTAATAAATTATTATGGTTCATCACACAGTCAGCCAGATATTTAGGCTGAATTTGACATTTTTGTATGCCTATTGAGAAGGACTTGGGATGAGCAGATGTGGATGTTTGGTAGTATTATAGATATTGTTACACAAAGTGGTTTCAAGTAAAGCTGCCTTTTGCAAATGATTAATGGTGAATTTATCTATACTGATGGTGTTCCAATGGTACTCTAGTTGTTTTGGGATTGCACCTATTACTATTTTATTATTGTGGTTCATTGCACAGTCAGCCAGATATTTAGGCTGGATTTGGCACTTTTAACCACTTATTGAGTCCTTCCCAACGACCTGGGATAGGCAGATGTCATTTGTAGGGAGAATGGTTGGCAGCTGACTTCCAGGCAACTGATTAAAGAGAAGATAAAATCGCAGATCCACCGTTCCCTTTCTTTAACTGGTTCGGTCTGCTTTTTTTTTAAAATTGAAAATAGGTACCGAAAACAAAAACAAATTCTCAGAACTTTGATGAGTAAGTTTCTTGGAAGGAGGGTTAAGCTAACAATACAAGAATTCCAGGGAAGGCTTTACTTTTACACGAGTCCTCTATTTATAAGCCATTATGGCAACAAGATTCAGGAATATTTTGTGAGACGAAAGGGGAGAAAGCCCCGCTCTCTAGTGCACCTGTCCTTGTTTTGGAAACAACTACTAGACTTATCCACGGAAGAGCCGATTCACAATAGGCGCGCAAGGGCAGCGCCTTTGGAGGCGTCCTTGTTGTGACAGGGGAGGGGTCAGCAACGCTCACGCTAGGAATTTTTCCGTCGGCTCAATGCCTGGTGGAGAGATAGCACGTTAAGGCAGCCAATTGGAGCAGCCCTCAGGACGGGAGGAAGAGGGACCTCGGGGAGGAAGAGCCTTCGGGGGTCGGCCGTCTGATCCCCTGCGGGAAGCCCCATCAGCCTTGCCTCCTTTGCACCCTCCTCCCCTTTTAGGGTCAATAGCACGAGCCGCGCGCTTCCAAGACTTACAAATAGCCTGGAAACTTTCTTGGAACTTTGCCTCCCGCTGACGACAACAATCGCTCCGGGGCCCCATCCTCTCCTCTCAGCCAATGGGAAGCTGGGCGGGGAGGACCCGCAGAGACCAATCCTGAGGCTCTGGACAGTTCCCCGGTCCTGACCGACCTTCACCGGACTGGAGCAGGGAGGGCATAAAAGAGCCCGGAGGAGGCAATTGGAGTTTGGCCGCCGCTGTCGCCACCACTGCTGCTGCTGCTGAGCCAGACGACTGCGCGGCGGCGACTGCTGCTGTTCCTGCCCGCTGCTTCTCCTTGGCTGCTTCTCCTTGGCTGCTTCCTCCGAAAAAGAACGGCGGTCGCGCTCGGTGCAGCCGGGAGCCCAGCACAGCCGCTGTTCTTCCGCAGGGGGAGGAGAGCGCAGGCAGCGGAGGAGCGCACGGGGGCGGGGAAAAAGCCGCGGCTGCCGGACTCCCTCTGGTGCGTTGCGCGCGGCCGCAGCCAGAGAAAAGCAGCGAGCGGGGAAGCGGCTCATTCATTCCTACAGCCAGCCCCGAGGAAGAACCGGCACAACCCGCAAGCGAATCCCACCTGGCTGCATTCTTTTGCGACCGAAAGAAGGGCTTTGATCCCGCTTCTCCTTCACTCCGGCCGAGTCCGTGAATGCCAGATCTAACCCCAGGGCGGTTCGAAAGGCCAGCAGGCTGGCTGGGAGTTTTGGGGTGGAGACGTGTGAGGTAAGAGCTCTGGAGCATCTGGCGAGAGAAGGGGAAGATGGAGAGCGGGAGAAGGCAGGCCGACAGGCCGGCGAGGTAGGGGGTCGTGGCAAAGACGGGTCGTGCCGGAATTGCGTCTGCTGCTTGGGAAGACTGAGGGCGAAGCCGAGAATGGTGGTCTTCGGGGCACAACGATGCCTTTTGAGATGAGTACCGCCCATTCTCCCTTCAAGCCTTGAAAGATGAACCGCCAACCCCAAATGCATGTTTTTTATGCTGTAAGAAACCCCGCTGGGGAGAAAGGCTACTCGGGAGGAAGGAGGGGTGATTAATGTTTGGAAGGGAAGGCTGGGGGAGAATTTTGGAGGAGCCAGGTTCTTCCCAAGTGTGAGAGAGAGAGCAGCCTGCAGAGAGGAAGTTGTGGGTACAAAAACTAGCACTATAACCGGACTGAGAAAGTCCTGGCCTCTCCTGAGCCTCCCAACATTGTTCCTCCCCTTTCCTTGTCTTGCTACAAGCTGTTGCCTGGCAAGAGAGGAGAGGAAAGATGAATGCCAGTAAGGGGAAAGCAGGTCAACTGGTAACTGCCTTTGGAGCCTCCAAGGGTGCAAGGTTTGGAGGACATTCCCTTGCTGGTTCACGTAGCAATACCATGGGGTGCAGTGGGATGAAGGTCATGATAACTCAAAAGGGGAGGACACAGAAGGGGTGATCCAAGGACAAGATAGGGCAGACCTGTGTTTCTCAATCTTGGAACTTTAAGACGTGTGACTTTTAAGTCCCAGAATTCCCCAGCTGGCTGGGAATTGAAGTCCATACATTTTAATGTTGCCAAAATTGAGACACACCGGTATAGTAGATTGGCCTGAAAGTGTCTTGGGCTGCATATTAAACCCCAAGTTATATATTCAGAGTAGGTACCAACCAAGATGGACAAATCCTGATGTGGAGATCACTGGGGACTCCACTCGTAAAGCAAGTCACCAAAAGGGATTGGGATTTGTATGGGGGTATTCAATTGGCCTTCTCCAAATTGCAGCTTGATCTGGAAGTCAGTCTTGTTGCTTGCTGCTGGGCCAGATCTTGGCCCTTTGCCCTTGAAAAGGAAGCAAACATCACACCTTCCTGAGCCAAAGTGTAGGCACCTTAAAACCCTTCTGCTAGTAGTGTAAACAAAACAAAAAGCTGAACTAGCTAGCAGAGTTAATTTATCTCAGATCTATCAATGGGAAAGAGAAGTTTCAGTGTTAATGATGTACTTGGAAATTCCTGTGTGACAACTCTGATGAGTATGCTGATTGGGAGTAGGGTGAGAGTTCAAGGGCTACAGAAATGCCCCATTCCTTGCCTAGGACAACTAACAACTCAAAGACAGTAAAGTGAGGAAGTCATTCTGTTGCATGTGTTGTATTGATTGCAACACTGGGGTGAATGGGGATAGACAAGCTTTTACTGCAGCTCCTGGGAGACATAAACACCATATTTAGCAGCCCATTTCTGGAACTCTTGGGATTCTGATAAAATTCTCCAACACAGTTATTTTTCAATGCCTGATCTGCTGCTTGTGGCTCAATTTGATACTGAGGAGTGAAATACCCCATCATTTAAGGATGCAAAACCTCTTAGTCATGAATGTGCTAAGACAAATATGTACATATTGCATTCGGTTTTAGATGAAGAGTCACAAACAGCCCAGTTAAATAAAATACAGACTACATAGATCTCTAAAATGATATTGTCTATTTCCTTTATCATACTTAATAATATAAAGGGGTTTGACACCAAATTTGTTAGCGTCCAGGTGCCCTGTAAACCTAGATCTGCAAATTTCAATTCCATCTGTCTTGTGGGGAAATGGATTCAACCTGGGTTAAATTTAAGATACTTAGTTCAGTGACAAAGTTCTCACTCACTTCTTATTTTTAAGGAGGGGGGGGATTAATCACTAAACAAAGCTAGTGTTACAAGGGGTGATAACCACAGAAAGAAATGTCTATAGTATTTGGAGATTGGGGTAAAGATTATCCAGCTGAGCTGAGCAATATTAGGGGTATTGATAGGCACTGTAACTAGATATATTTATTGTTTGATAGAGGGTGGGGGGAAGAAGAAGCAGAAAAATACATTTATGCTAGGAGAACCTGGCCAAAAAATCCTCATCAAGTCATAAAAAGGTCCGTTGAAAGTTGAGGAACATAGGTAAAAATTGTGGAAGATCTCAAGGGTACTGCTACTGTTTTTGTTCCCCAACCCCTCAGAAATAATTTAACACTGATCCATGACTGACCTGTCTTTACTTGACTTTAAAGGCTAGGAAAAATACTGTGCCAGCTTGACCTACAAATTACACAACAGAAAAAAACCCAACTACACAAAAGGGATAGAAGGAAAAGAAAAACATAGAAGCCTGACACCTTTCATACAACAACTGATCTTGGAGAGGAGGCTACTGACAAGAATAACAATCCAACAAACTTGTCAGTTCCCCCCCCCCCAGCTTTTTTGTTTGAGCAAAATGCAAAGCCTTCAAACTCTTATAGAATCTGACCTTTGGTAACTAGCAGAGTTCCTTCCAGTGGTGGGATTCAGCCAACATCTCACTTGGCAATTTTAACTACACTATTATTGAAGTTGGGACAGAGAGATCAGGAACTCTTTTCAAAGAGTGGTAGAAATCTTGGATGGCAGTGCCTGCAGTTCCCATAAATATGGGGAGGTTTCAGATTTAGGCAGAGTTCTTTCCCATCGTCTTCAAGCAGTTTTTGTCAACTACCTCACAATATGGGTAGTCCTAGACTTATGCCCACAATTGGGCCCAGGTTTTTGTTGCTAATCAAGACATTTGTTATGTGAGTTTTGCCCCATTTTATGACCTTTGCCATAGTTGTTAAGTGAATCACTGTAGTTATTAAATTAGTAACGTGGTTAAGTGAATTTGGCTTCCCCATTGACCTCGCTTGTCAGAAGGTTGCAAAGATTGATCATATAACCCCAGGATATTGCAATCATCATAAATATGAACCAGTTATCAACCATATAGTATTCAGATCACATAACCATGGGGATGCTGCAATGGCTGTGTGAAAAACCATCCTAAGTCACTCTTTCCAGTGTCCTTATAACTTTGAACAGTCGCTAAATGAATGATTGTAAGTTGAGGACTGCCTGTACCTTGATGAACCTTGAATGGTAGACAAAGACATAAAAGGACATTACTTTGGGGAGGGGTAGTTTCTAAACAATTCCTTTTCTCTTAAAGCCTTCCTCCGTCTTCTTGAATCTTCATGAGAAAAAGATCTGATAGCCAAGAAGGAAGCCCTTCCCTGTGAATTTGACTTCAAGGATGCCCTGGAACGTCAAACGGTTGAATAACTGCAACAGCCACAGCTCCCAGTCACAGAAACAATGCAAGAAATCCTCTTTTGCTTTCTATCAAGCTGTGAGAGACCAGCTACCAGTGTGGTTCTTGGAAGACATGAGGTGCATGGAGGTTTTCCACTGGCAAGAAGGAGGCAAAGTCAGCACATATTCGCCTTCAGAGGCACTGCTCTATGCCCTGGTACACAACCACCAGCCTTATGCCCGATATTTACTGAGTCAATTTCCTAAAAGTGCCCTGGCAATACCCAGCCTTCATTTCAGCTGCTGCCACTCTTCAGCTCCTCACTTAGCTATGGCTGTCCGTTACAATCGTATCCATGTCCTTGTAGAGATTCTGAAGGCCATCAAAAACTTTCCAGTAAGCGACCGAGCTACCTATTTGGATCGCCGAGGTTGCAGTCGAGTAGAAGGTGGCAAAACAGCTCTTCATGTGGCTTGTGAACTGACAAGGCCAGAATGTTTGATTTTGTTGCTGGGACACGGAGCCTCACCTTGCCTTCACGATTGTGCTGGGAACACACCTTTAGACCTACTTCTACAACAAATTTGGGAGAGTCCAGCATCAAATCTCTGCACGAAGCTTCTCCTTCTGGACTCACTCTTGCTCTTCTTGCCTCCAGGCTTCCATTTCGCCATGAAACAGCAGCTCCAGGAAGAACAGCAACCATGGCAGGGCCTTCTGGGTGATAGCCGATATCAATGGTTGGCTGGTTTTGCCCCTTTCTCTCTCTTTGTTAGATCCATGCAAGTTTTAATTGGGAGCACTTCACCTGAACATTTCCCAGAGGCTCTGGATGGTCTACCTTTGCCGCACTTTCTGAAACCTTTGGACTTGAAGTTGAAGGGCTAAGGTTATAAGCTAGAGACCCCTTCTCTCACTTTTACTCCCTCTCTTCCTCACCTTTCAGTTGCTGCTTGTGTGATGAAAATAGGTTGTGTGGAGAACCCATGTGCTGAAAATGAAATCTTTGTGGGAGAAGGAGAAACACTTGTTTTAATTAGAGACTTTTTTCCAAAGATTTTAATATGTTGTGTTTTATTTAACTATTGCTCAGTCGGAGAGAGTGGAACACCTAAAGTGTATTCTAAAAATAAATTTCATTTTATGGCAGGATGCAAAGCTTAAGGTATGCCAAATTGTAGACTGACTCAAGTGAATTAGCATTTTAGGCCAAAAGCTATACCAAGCAATGAAACAGTAGCTTTTGTAAACCACACTCAGCAGATCAACAGTAAATAATGCACCAACAGGATACTGACTTTACAGCAAAAAATACCTGGACCCAGGTTTACTGACCCAGTCAGCAAATGATGATTTGGAATATGTCCAGTTTTTCAAACCCCTTCTTTGTCAACCTCAAATTACTTGCCACAGGTTTATATATAATTTAAACAAACACAACACAACCAGAGTTTGAAATGTTGGTTTAAGCTATTACCTCTTATGTCCAACTAATATGAAAAGGGACAAAAAAAATCTTTTTTTTTTATAAAACAGCTATTAGATATTAGAAAGAATTGAACTATTGGCCAATTGCCTGTCCCCTCCCCTCTCTCATTATTTTCTCATGGCAATATATTGCAAGAGTCATTTTCTTAAAAGAATTATTATTTTCTCTGTCACCAATCATTCACTTTTATTTAAAAATATGTATATTCAAGAGGAGGTCAAATCAGCTAAGCATTAAACAAAAAAACATTAAACACATAGCAATCCCTATTGGTATTAATAAGAACAATAATAGTGGAATAATATAAGCAGTAACTATTTCAGTAGAAAGTAGTGAAAACTGAAAAAACATTCAAAGTCAAGAAAATATGTTTGCAGTCATTCAAAAATTATTTGAGATCAGAAGGAAGGTTGATGAAGGTGAGAGTCAAGAACCAAGATGTAAAAATGTAAAGCTTCACATACTTTTGTTGCAATTGTTCTCTTCAGAGTCATTTCTCATCTATCTGTCTTGCTGTCTAACTATCTATTACAGACATGTCAAACACAAGGCCCGGGGGCCTGATGCAGCCTGCAAAGTGGTTTCATGTGGCCCGTGAAGCCATCCTGGAAACAGTGAGGGAACGGCCCCCGCTGCCTTGGCCCTGGCCCAGGCCGGCCGGGAGCCAATGTACAATTTTGTGCTGGCCATCTATGCTGAAATGTATTCAGTCTTAACTCCACAAGACTGTCTGGAAACAGCGAGGGCGCCCCCTTGGGGAAGTGGGGCTGGGCTTGGTGCCGCAGGTACTTGAGGGGCTGGGCATTTGACCTCCGGGCAGCCTGCACCACCATCCAGCTCCCCTACATGGCCTGAGAGGAACGGTGAGGCTACTCCAGTGGACCATGCCTTGGCACTTGCCCTGGTCCCACCCCCTTCTGCCAGAGACCCTCATTCTGTCCCACTCCTGTCCAGGCCCTCACAGGCACCCTTGACGCAAATGATGTAGGGCTGGCCATGCCCACCCAATAGGCCACACCCACTCCATCCACGCTCACCCAGTAGGCTGCACCCACCCTGGCCACACCTACCTGGCCCCCCGAGGGCAACCGCAATGCTGATGCAGCCCTCAATGAAATTGAGTTTGACACCCCTGATCTATTAGATTTGTATAGCCACCCAGCTCACTTAGTGACCCTTTGTTTCATGAACTTTGTTAAGAACATGGGGATGTAAATGTTAGCCCACTGAACACTGAATGCAGTACACATTTGCTGGTTATTCTTACTGATTGGTTTCATATCTCATCGCAAAATGGTCAAGAAGGATGAGAACAAGGTGCAAAAGAGGGTCAAATTGTGCACCACCACCACCACCAACAACAACAACAACAATAATAAAGTTGGAAGGGACCTTGGAGGTCATAGAGTCCAATCCCCTGCTCAGGCAGGAACCCTACACCATTTCAGACAAATGGCTGTCCAGTCTCTTCTTAAAAACTTCCAGTGTTGGAGCATTCACCGCTTCTGGAGGCAAATTGTTCCATTGGTTAATTGTTCTAACTCTCAGGAAGTTTCTCCTTAGTTCTAAGTTGCTTCTCTCCTTGATGAGTTTCCATCCGTTGCTTCTCGTCCTGCCTTCAGGTGCCTTGGAGAATAGCTTGACTCCCTCTTCTTTGTAGCAGCCCCACTGCTATCATGTCCCCCCCTCGTCCTTCTCTTTGTTAAACTAGACATACCCAATTCCAGCAACTGTTCCTTATATGCTTTAGCCTCCAGTCCCCTAATCATCTTTGTTACTCTTCTCTGTACTCTTTCTAGAGTCTCAGCATCTTTTTTACATCGTGATGACCAAAACTGGATGCAGTATTCCAAGTGTGGTCTTACCAAGACATTATAAAGTGGTATTAATACTTCACGTGATCTTGATTCTATCCCTCTGTTAATGCAGCTCAGCATTGTGTTGGCTTTTTTGGCAGCTGCTGCACACTGCTGGCTCATATTTAAGTGATCGTCTACTAGGACTCCGAGATCCCTCTCACAGTTACTACTATTGAGCAAGGTAACCCCTATACTATACCTGTACATTTGGTTTTTCTTGCCTAAATGTAGAACCTTAATTTTTTCACCATTGAATTTCATTTTGTTAGATAGCGCCCAGTGTTCAAGTCTGTTCAGGTCCTCCTGTATCTTAAGCCTGTCTTCTGGAGTGTTGGCTATTCCTGCCAACTTGGTGTCATCCGCAAATTTGATGAGTTCCCCATCTATCCCCTCGTCCAAATCATTGATGAAGATGTTGAAGAGCACTGGGCCTAGAACAGAGCCCTGGGGCACCCCTACATACTTTCCTCCATGTAGATGCACTTCATTGAGGCCCATCATTTACCAAATTGATGCAGGATTAGTACAGAAGGATTAGACTGAATCCCTCCCCTCCATACACAGTTGTTGATTGAAACGCAAACACTATTTTACTTCAGTCCCTTACTTTAGTGGCACAGAACCTAGTGGCTCTAAACTGGTGGTTAGGGTAATGGGACCTGGACTGCGAAGACATAAACCTAAATTCCTAGTCATTTACTAGACCAGAGGTGGTGAACCTATGGCACAGGTGTCAGTAGTGACACTGGGAGCCCTCTCTGTGGGCACACATGCCATTGCCCCAGCCTTGCCTCCCCCATGACCCCCTCCTCACAAGTAGCCCCCCCTGAAGGAGAGTCGCCCCTGAGCGTGGCCCATGCAGAGCAGCACAGCCAAGAACATGGCAGCCAGGCAGTGTTGACAAGAATCTGGCCTCATGCCCCATTGTGCACAATTGATGGTGCAGGGCACGGGCAGAGGGTGTGGCCATGGCGCTGCTGGGCTGCCTGGGCAGTCGGCGGGCCCTGGAGGTGATGAGTGGCCCTGCAAGCAGGCAGGGTGGGGCGGGGCAGGGGGTGGAGCAGGGGTGGGGCCACTCGGTTTCTAAAAGGTTCGCCATCACTATACGAGACCATTTTAGCCTACTCTTATTCAGCCCAATCTATATCTTATGACTCTGGTAGGGATAAAACAAGAGGAAATTCTAATACATATAACTCTGAGCTCCCAGAGTAAAGTTACGCTATTAATGCAACGAATCAATACTGAGAATAGGAGACATGCAATTTTAACCTCTAAGGGAAAGAAACAAAATGGAATGTGGGTAGTGGAGTTGGAGGAGAGCCCCTGCTCTCGCTCAGAATCCATTGTCCTGCTTAGGTTAGATATCTAGAGTTGGAAGGGTGCATTTAGGCCATCAGTTTCAGGTTCCTTCTCCTTCCACCCCAGATACATGGCTGTGTAGCACCTGCCTGAATGTAATCAATATAACCAATCCACCTCCAATAAAATACAGTAGTATTTTATTCTATTGTTACATTTCTTTTATAATTTGAATTACCCCATGGATGCACATATGCACAATATTTAGTTGAAGAAATCTGCTTTCCTATCATTTATGTCTATTATTCCATGTGCAACAAAATGTTGGAGAATAGATCTAGACCTTCTTATAGATCTTTGAAAAGTCCTACCATAGCCCTGCTCAATCAACTTTTCTTAAGGTTAAACTTACTCTGCTCTTCATTCTGTCATCTTAGGGTTTAATTTCTAATCCTTGGTTATCTTTGTAGCCCTTTTCTGAACTGCTCCATTTTTTTCTGATTCTCTCTTAAAGTACACTAGTCAGAATTTAGCACCGTACTTAAGATGACTTTCAACCAAAGCAAAAGAGTGGAAAAATTATTTATTGTGAGTTAAAAGCATACTTCTATTGATACAACCTAAGATTGCATCTGCCTTCTTGGCAGCCAAGATATTTTTCTCAAGTACTATCATAAGTCAGATATCCCCATTCTACACTTGCACAATTGATTTTTTAAGTGAAGAAATCTGACCTTGTGTCTTAAATTGTATTCTATAGTACTGGTATTAACTTATTAACCTATCTTCTAACTGTACAGCTGTAGCTGCAATAACCTATCAATATCATGTTGAATTTTATTTCTTTGTTCTAGGGCAGGGGTGTCAAACTGCCAGCCTGTGGGCCAGTTGCATCATGCAGAAGCCGCACCCACCCCAGCTCCAGCAATGTGAAAAAAGTCACGATACATCGCGACATGTCATGTGACGCAGCGTTTGACACCCGTGTTCTAGGGCGTTAAGCTATTCCACCTGTTATCATCTGCAAGTTTGATAAATATTCCCTCTGTCAAACTTCACATTAGAATAGTCTCAGTTTTCCAGATACTTAACCCCTGGTCAGCAATTAAGCAAATGCTTTCTACAACATTTTAAATTTATTCACTTGAATTTTTGAGCAAGAAAGGGCGCTCTTAACTTACAATGCAGCGCATTCTGTCTGTCTCTCTTTAAATAAATGCTATCCTTCAATTGCTATATTTCAGTCATAGAAGACATTCTGCAGTCTCTCTGTTTCATATTAAATCAAGTTGATGCTTCTAGATAAAGAACTCAAGCTTGATCTTGTTTATTTCCATTCTCTGAGTAAAAGTGTACAAAGAGGGCCATTAACTTTATGAGTTGATGTTCTTTTTATTTGACTCTTGGTTGGTTGTAGAGGCTTTATTTTAACAATGCTGTTTAACAACGTTCTATAACTTACATGCCTTTATACGAGGGACTTATTTCAGGATTTACATTCC